TTACTCAGTTCGAAACGAAAGGGGAAACGAAATTTCTACCTGCTTTCGGTTTTCGACAATGATTCTCGCAGCTTCTACATCATATTTTCGGAGCAGAGGCACGCGACAGAGAGACAATTAGAGAGATGTAGATGGAGGGAAGGGAGAGAAAAAAAATCGGTGTCGAAAACCAAATGAATGGAAGCGACGTCAGAATACCCTTTTTAAAATATGTTAAAATATTTATATATATTTAAGATTATATTTAATTAATTTTTCTTATCTAATCATATGGTATATTGAAATGTATTAATAATTGGCTTTAGGCAAAGCCAAAATGTTCTTGTTTGATTATTTGCCTTGTGCGATTCTAATTACAAGGCATTGCGTTGGTCGACTATACCCTGGCACGCGCCAGAATTATCGTTTGTCAATTTTCGGTTTCGTCTTGCCTCTCCCCTTCTCTTTGCATTTGATGTTCAAGTTGCACCTAAAGCAAACGCGTTTGTGAAGAAAAAAAAGTTTAAGTGACCAAAAAACTAATTCTGGTGAGTACAATTAAAAAGTAATGTGCATATAATTAAGTTATTTATTAAATACCGAGCGGCCGTTCAATATACATATTTACATATGTACATATATTTATTAAACGGCATTTGCCGCTTGTACATACATATTATGTTATTATTTATTTATTGTTTATTTATTTATTTAAATAAATAATTAACAAGAAAGGAAAGCTAACTTCGGGCGGAGCCGAAGTTTATATACCCTTGCAGCTAAAACCGGATATATATCGCAAACATCGGATATAGTTGGCCGATCCTTATGAAATTTGGTAGGATGGATCAAAATATAATCTGTACCAAGTTCCAGCTTTCTATCTTCAAAAACACAAAAGTTGGGTCATTTCCGATCGTTCAGTTATATGGCAGCTATAGGATATAGTCGGCCGATCCTAATGAAATTTGGTAGGTTGGATCAACTAACCAAAAATAGAGTCTGTACTAAATTCCAGCTTTCTATCTTCAAAAACACGAAAGTTGGGTCATTTCCGATCGTTGAGTTATATGGCAGCTATAGGATATAGTCGGCCGATCCTTATGAAATTTGGCATGTCGTATTATTTTGCCAAAAATAGCTCTCATGTCAAATTTGAACTCTCTAACTCTAAAAACACCAAAGTTATACCATTTCCGATCAATCAGTTATATGGCAGCTATAGGATATAGTCGGCCGATCCCGGCCGTTCCGACTTATATACTGCGTGCAAAGGAAAGAAGGGTGTGTGCAAAGTTTCAAGACGATAGCTTTAAAACTGAGAGACTAGTTTGCGTAGAAACAGACAGACGGACAGACGGACAGACGGACATGCTCATATCAACTCAGGAGGTGATCCTGATCAAGAATATATATACTTTATAGGGTCGGAGATGTCTCCTTCACTGCGTTGCACACTTTTGGACAAAATTATAATACCCTCTGCAAGGGTATAAAAATACATTTTTATATTCTTCAAAAAAGGAACATAACATAACAGATCAAAGATGGAGCCTAACATGAAAATATTAAAGATGGCGTTTAATGTCGATGGTAAAAAATAAAAAAAAATCGAATATATTAATTTTTTATTAATTTCTTTTTTCAGACGTTGACCTGATTGCGGATACGAGCAGAACGAGGTCGAGGTGGTCGAGGGGACGATTTGGGCGATTCAAAAATTGATCACCTAGAGCGAAAAATTGATGAGCAGGCGAGGGAAATCGCCGCATGCACAAATCAACTGGCCAAGTTGACAGCATTGCTGGAGGTTTTTGTTAAGGGAAAGGCCACCAGCAATGCTGTCAACATGGAATTCCCAATTCGCATAGAAGAGGCATTGGGAGCCTTAGATTTTGCCTTAGGCCGCGGCATGAAGGAAGAATGTGTAAGTATAATATTTATAAATTAAATATAAAAAAATTTTTAATACCTATTAATTTTTGCAGTGACAAATTTATCGAAGCGCGTACCATTGACCAAATCTTTAAAATATGTTATTGTTGAGGAGCTGATCGTCCAATATAACATAGACGGAGTTAGTGGGCCTAAAATGAAAACCTTTTCAAATTTTTATGGAGTTTTGATCGGTATGTAATTTAATTACAAATAATGTAAACAATATCTAATTTCTATTTATTTTATTTAAAGATAGTATATCTAACGTGGCTCTGGGGAACTCGCCGGAGAAAGTTTTGGGTCACGCTCTCACTTGTGTTAAAAATAATAATAACAAAAAAAAAATAAATAAATAAATAATTTGTAAAATAATTTTTTATAATTAATAATTTGAAAAAATAATAAAATAATAATTTGTAATTTATTTATTTAATACTTTTTTATTGAAAGGAAAGGTGGGGGTAGAAATCCTTACAGTTTCTCGCTGATTCCTCAGATTCCCATACGAATCCCTGCTATTTCTTCACAGGTTCCTCATTGAATACCCCTACAAATCCCTGCTATTTCCTCTCAGATTCTTCAGTGAACACCCCTACAAATCCCTGCTATTTCCTCTCAATTTTCTCTGTATATTCCCCAGGGATTCCCAGGGGTATTTAGTATGAAATTCTGCAGAATCCTGCAGAATTTCCTGAGAATTCTCCGGGGAGTTCGAATTTCTCGATGCGAGGAACTTTTCTATTCCCTGGGTGGCAATTCCTTTTTTCTAAGGTTTCCTTGAGCAATCCTTGAGGAATGGTACTGAAGGGTATCGACTTGCGACTTTGCACACACGCTTCTTTCTTTTGCACGCAGTACAATAGTCGGAACAGCCTGGTTCAGTCGACTATATCCTATAGCTGCAATATAACTTTTGCATCGAAAATGATAAAACGTTGGTGTTTTTAGAGTAAGCGAAACAAAGGATCGGCCAACTATATCCGATTTTAGCGATATACCATATATCCGCTTTTAACTGCAAAGGTATATCAACATCTGCTCCGCCCAAAGTTAGCTTTTCTTTTTTGTTTATTGTCGGGTCAGGCAGAAGCACAGCGGTTTAGTGTTTAAATTATAATGTTAAAAAAAAGTTAATGTAATGCTTAGTGTAATTTTTATTTATTAGGCTAAAGTTTGTATAAATCGCTTAGTTGGTCGCAAGCTGAGTCTCTCTCTCGGCCGCTCGACTCAACGGCCCTTTCTTTAGAGAGTTTTAGCTCCGCAATGTCTAGGTCGGGCCGCCCTCTCCATTATCGAGACCTTTAGCTTTGCAATGACTCGTCGGGCCGCACTCTCTGTTCATAACATTGAGTCCCTGCATGCACCAAAAGCTGTTCTATCCGTTAATCATCCGGCTTCATCTGCATGAAGAAATTAAAATTTATAACGTTTTAAATTTACTTAAATTCATCTTTGTATTTTGGTGTGGATTACGGCATTGAAAACCCTCAATGACCAAACATTTATGTTTATTTACGCTTATAATTTTTTTCTTTTTTGATTTAATACTACTTTTAAATAGGCATGTAGGATTTGACTGCTTGTTTTAGCACAACTGAACATTCGTTGTACCGATTTCCTGGAAGTGTTACTGGTCAGGGGTAGCAGTGTTGAAACCTTTTTTGATTGGCATTACGATAAAATAGAGAACAAGAAAGAAAAGATAACTTTGGGCGGAACCGAAGTTTATATACCCTTGCAGTTAAAACCGGATATATATCGCACACATCGAATATAATTGGCCGATCCTTATGAGAATATCATAATAAAACCAATTAATTACAATAAAATATATAAAAAAAAGTCCCATGCTTCTATCTTCAAAAATACCAAAGTTGGTATTTTTACCAAAAACCATTTCCGAAACCAGTTATATGGCAGCTATAGGATATAGTTAGCCGATCCTAATGAAATTTGGTAGTCAACTGACAACTGACAAAAATAGAATCTGTACGAAGTTCTATCTTCAAAAACACGAAAGTTGTGTCATTTCCGATCGTTCAGTTATATGGCAGCTATAAGATATATATTATTTTGCCAAAAATAGCTTTTATGTAAAATTTGAACTCTCTAACTCTAAAAACACCGAAGGTATACCATTTCCGATCAATCAGTTATATGGCAGCTATAGGATATAGTCAGCCGATCCCGGTCGTTCCGACTTATATAGGAAATAGGAAAGAAAGAAAGTTTCTTTCCTTTCTTATAAGGAAAAAAAGGTATGTGCAAAGTTTCAAGGCGATAATTTTAAAAGTGAGAGACTAGTTTGCGTAGAAACAGACAGACGGACAGACAGACAGACGGACAGACGGACATGCTAATATCAACTCAGGAGGTGATCCTTATCAAGAATATATAGGGTCGGAGATGTCTCCTTCACTGCGCTGCACACTTTTAACCAAAATTAATGCTAATAAAAAGCGTGTTTCCGCCCAATGTGCACTGCACCTAATGCCGGGTACATTGAAACCTCGATTGGACCACGTCCAGCAAGGAAACCCAAGACGCACTCACCTACTCACACTTCCCAGGAAGGTCACAGAAGAACCCAATTCAGGAAACGCGAAGCCAGGGAGGCTCGAACACGCTCGAACCCCCCGTAAGTAATAGGAATCTCGGTTAAACAGTTTCAAGCCCTTTAAATCTGCAGCCCCGGATGGCATCTTCCCGGCTCAATTAACCAAAGCCGGGGCTGAACTGAGGTTATGGATCAGGAAAATCATCACTGCAATCTTCAAAACATCGTTCCTGTGACGCGGCTGCGAACGAAAGTTGTCTATTCAGTACTCTACCCCCTACGTAGTAAACCATTCTACCATTCTTAGAGGGGTTGCTCCCCTAAGTAAACATTTAAATTTAGAAAATGCTTAGCAGAATCAGCAAGCTGAAGGCTTAAACTACGCACAATTCATTATTTTTAATGTTCTCCTATATAAGCATAATTGGGTAAAACTTTTTTTATAAACACGATTACAATATTTATGTCGATTACCTTAAAAGTTAAATTTTATTGCATAAATAATATACTATATATTATAACTTACCTCTAGCAACATCAGAAGGCAATGATTTGGGTTCATTTTCCCTTATGATTAATTCTGGTTTACAATGAGAAGGTTCTGCTTCGTAAATGATCTTCGGTGCAAAAATTAGTTTGAAGTGAATATTACAGTATAAACATCCATTATGGAAGTGGTAATTTTCAGGCCTGCAAGTTAAAATAATAATATAATCATAATTTTATCTTAATATATATATGAAAATAAACAGATGAAATCATTTCATATTTCATTTTTCATTTTTCAGTTCAGTTCATTTTTCTGCAGCTACTAATAAGCTAAGTCTGTATAAAGTTTAAAGGAAAAATTAAGATACTAAAGATCCCAATAAGTAAGTCACATAGACAGAACTTTTAAGTTAGCTATATAGCTAAACGACCGGAAATGATATACATATGTTTATGTAGACAGAAAGAGTTCCACACTCGTATTTTATTTTTGGATAATTTGGATTTTGGAATTTTCGGATTTTTAAACTCACCGGATCTACTAAATGAGGATACCACGAAATCGTTTATTACTTTTAAAAGAAACAATACCATTGTTCAATAGTATAGTGTTCTGTTGTTCAAACATTTTTAGCATTACAATTTGTAATTGTAGTGTTGCCATTTTAGCCTATTTCAGGCTAGATCTAGCCTATTTTTAAATGATATAGCCTATAAAATTTGTAAATAGCCTGACGGGGAGGCTATTTAAATGACGGGGAGAACGACGATATTGAAAGTTTGTTAACGTGTTTAATATAATAACAAGAAAGGAAAGCTAACTTCGGGCGGAGCCGAAGTTTATATACCCTTGCAGTTAAAACCGGATATATATCGCAAACATCAGATATAGTTGGCCGATCCTTATGGCAATAGGAATATGTAATCCAATTTTTTACAATACAAAATCTAAAAAAAGTCCCAAACTTCTATCTTCAAAAATACGAAAGTTGATATTTCTACCAAGTACCATTTCCGATCGTTCAGTTATATGGCAGCTATAGGATATAGTCGGCCGATCCTAATGAAATTTGGTAGGTCGGATCAACTGACCAAATATATAATCTGTACCAAGTTCCAGCTTTCTATCTTCAAAAACACGAGTTGGGTTAAAGTTGGGTCATTTCCGATCGTTCAGTTGTATGGCAGCTATAGGATATAGTCGGCCGATCCTTACGAAATTTAGCATGTCGTATTATTTTGCCAAAAATAGCTTTCACCTAAAATTTGAACTCTCTAACTTTAAAAACACCAAAGTTATACCATTTCCGATCAATCAGTTATATGGCAGCTATAGGATATAGTCGGCCGATCCGGGCCGTTCCGACTTATATACTGCGTGCAAAGGAAAGAAGGGTGTGTGCAAAGTTTCAAGACGATAGCTTTAAAACTGAGAGACTAGTTTGCGTAGAAACAGACAGACGGACAGACAGACGGACAGACGGACAGACGGACATGCTCATATCTACTCAGGAGGTGATCCTGATCAAGAATATATATACTTTATAGGGTCGGAGATGTCTCCTTCACTGCGTTGCACACTTTTGACCAAAATTATAATACCCTCTGCAAGGGTATAAAAACATGAAAATTACTTTAATGTGGTAGATATTATTAAATTTGAATATATAGCTTATTTTTCAGACATTTTTCTGAGTTTTAGCCTATTCTAGCCTATTTTTACCCAAAATCTAGCCTATTTTGAGCTCAGTACCTGGCAACACTGATTACAAATGAAAACAAATTTTTACTGTTATTCTCCAATTCCTATAGCTTTTATATACCTCTATGATCGGAAATGAACAATTTCTGCCGTTTTTGAAGATAGAAGTGTCAGGACCGAAGTTGATATACCCTTGAAGTTAAGATCGGATATATTTCACGAATATCGGATAAAGTTTTTCGATCTTTAGAGAATTTTATTAAAAAAATACATTTCAAGAATACTAAATTAAAAAAAAAGTCCCAATCTTCTTACTTTTAAAATTTTCAAATTGATTCCTTTGTTTAAAAAATACCAAAATACCAAATATGTTTACCACCAAGAAATCCGATCGTTCAGTTATATGACAGCTATAGGATACGACGGCGATCCCAGCCGTTTCCACTCATAAACTGTGTTCAAATGAAAGAAGGGTGTGTGCAACGTTTTAAGTCAATTTCTTTAAGACTGAGAGCCAACGAGAACAGACAGATGGACAAATAGACGGTCAAACGGACATTCCTATATTAACTCAGGAGGTGAGTTTAAAGGCTATAAGAGTCTATAAGAGAAAAACTATTAATTATTAAATACTAAACAATACTTTTCACGCAAACCAAATTTTGTCAAAATTTGGCCACTCCCACTCCCGCCCCCTAAAAAGGACACCTCGTTTAACATCAGTTCATTAATATTTTTGGGAATTGTTTTGTTGCCAAATTATTTCAATAACTTATCTTCACCTAAAACAAAATTCATCGACATGAAAGTCTGTGGAAAAGTGGCTATAGCAGCTCTTCGAGTTCTTTTGGACAAATTCATTTTCCATATGCGAGCCTTGAAGACTTCGGGTACGTCAAATCAGATTGCCAAGTGCATCATCTTCCAGTTGCTTCCTAAAAGGTTGGAAGCCGCTACCCAGGCTAAGTGGGAAGAAAATCAAAATTCCTTAAGTTCCTTATCCCTACTAGGGAGTCGGTGTCTGAATTTTTGGAGCAGCGATGAAGGACGATGAAGGCTATGGACGTGGCCATGGCCGGAAACGCCCCGGGCGCTCAGGTGGGAAATAACAATATCCGGCGCAAATAACAGTAGATTTTTTATTATGACTAAAGGGGCCAATCCACAGGCGAGCATGTTCGCCAACATGTTTGGTACCTCCAGATGCGGTTTTAATCACCAGCCACTCGAAAAACCACCACCACCGCTATTAAATTTATTACTATTGTTTTGGCAATGTACATCAAGATAAGCATCACAAGTAGCATAAATATATTGGTAGATTTACTTATCGAGCTATATCCTAAGTAATTTGATATTCTCAGATACCAACGATTCCAAGCCATTCAATAGGTAATACCAAACCATTCTATAAAATCGAAAAGATAGCGGTGTTATTAATGTTATTAGTGTCTTTTCTTTTAACATCTTTTATATGACTTTCGTTATATTTTCAGCCATGAACAATAACTTTTTCAAACGTTACAGCCCTGAGAACTTCTTATTATTTATTATAAAAACTATGTTTTATTATTTATTGAGAACTTCTAACTTTATTATTTCTCTTATTTTCTTCTAACATAATTTTAGCTCTTTTATATGATATTTCTAATCTATATTTATTTTCTTTAGCATAATCATCTATGTTATAGTTAACTGTTTGTTTTACCCAAAACAAGTTCATATGGACAATAGTCATGTGCCATAGAAACAATGTTGAAACAATAAACGAAATATTGGATCAATTTGTCCCAATCAGTTTTATCTACCGATATATATGAACGTATGTTTTCATTAAAAGTTCTGTGACTTCTTTCGACTATTCCAACTGTCTGGTGGTGGTGTGTAGTTGATGTTATGTTATTTATTTGTAACAACTTGCACAAATCATTTACCATATTATAGAACTTTTATATTCTGTTCCCATGTCCGTAATGAACGTATTTTTTGGATCGTACTTTAGAATAAAATTTTCAAAAATCGCCTTTGCTACTGTGTTAGCATTTTTGGAGTTGTAATCGCGACTAGATGTTTAGTCAGATCACAAAATAATGTTACTGCGTGTTCATTTCTATATTCAGACCTGGGTAGTGGACCAATGGTGTCTGTTATAACCCTGTCGAAAGCAAGTATTGGTGTATCAGTTATTGTTAGAGGAGTTTTTATTTCTCTTGTAACTTTTCATTTTTGGCATTTTGGACATTTTTGTATTCAGTAATATCTTGAGTCATACCTTTCCAATAATAATGTCTTTTGACCTTGGCAAAGGTTATTGAGATGCCTGTGTGACCTCCTTTTATTGGATCGTCATGGAATATAGACAATAGAGCTTCTTTTTCTTTTATTGTTATTATTTGGGTCACCGGGTCGAGTGGCGCTACTCTCAATGAAATTAATTTTTTATTGTACCTACTTTTAAAGTTATCAATTGAAACGTATGCAAAGATATTATCCCACGGTGCCACTTTGAGTTCGCTGATTTTATTTATACCGGCTTGCGTTTCAAGCCTTTGGAAAAATTGTCCTAAGTCAAGAGTTCCATTCGTATATAAATCGCTAACATCATATCTTGCAGTACCATGAAGTTTTGAAGCTTTTTCTATAAATTGCCTTGGCAATTCTATTTTTTCTATTCCTGCGCAGGAATTTGTGTCTACTTTGATATCTAGTAGTGACTTTCTTTACAGATGCATTTGTTTGTTGTATCTGTTGAATGGTTATTCTTGATAACGCATCCGCTACAAAGTTTTCTTTACCCTTCAGATATTCGGCTGTAAAATTATACTCCTCTAAATCAAGTCTCATACGCATTAGCTTTGAGCTTGGATTTACCATTGAGAACAAGTATGTTAATGGTCTGTGATCTGTTTTGACAGTGAAATGTCTACCATAAATGTATGGACGGAAATAAGTTATGGCCCAATGAATTGCTGCCAATTCTTCTTCTGTTGTACTTTTATTACTTTTACCCTTAGTAAACGAACTTGATGCATAAGTAACTGGAAGTTGGAGTCCATTTTTGTTTTAAGTTAAAACTGCTCCATATGCTTGTTTACTTGCATCAGTTATTACGCAAAATTCTTTGCTGAAATCTCGGTATTATAATAAATTCGGATTTATTAGCGCTGACAATCTAGCTGTCCATTTGAATTTGAAATTTTTTCTATATAATCTTGTTATGTGACGAGCATAGTCGGCAAAATTTTTGAAAAACGGCTACAGTAGTTGCAGATTGCAACGAATCGTCTAGCACTTTCCGCATCATGTGGGACTGCATAATTTTTAATGACGTCGTATTTTTTGTCATCAGGCAAGATTCCGTTATCCGTGCATTTTTGTCACAAAAATGTCACTTCATGAATGAAAAATTATCATTTTTCAGGATGTAATTTAAGATGGTATTTCCTACGTTTCTTCCTACATTTTCTCAAAAACATCAATTAAGTTTTTGAGCATATGT